GAATGCTCTTTGATTGTAGGTGAACTGTGAATCCCAGTGACTACAACTCCCAAATGTCAAGGTCTATTTCCACCAAACTCCATCTGTGTTCATATTTGGGTATATTGAGTATTCGCACAAAGTTTGGTCCAGATCTATCATTGTTTGAGTCCACAGTGCTTTCTGGATGTAGGTGAACTATAACTCCCAAACTCAAGGTCAATGCCCACCAAACCCTTCTAGTATTTTCTGTTGGTCATGGGAGTTGTGTGTCAAGTTTGGTTCAATTCCATCTTGATGGAGTTCAGAATGCTCTTTGATTGTAGGTGAACTATAAATCCCAGCAACTACAACTCCCAAATGACAAAATCATAATTTTTTGAGTGATGGTCACTTCTTGTGTTGTGAGACGTTTTGTTGCCAAATTTGGTGTGATTTCGTTCATTGGTTCTTTTGTTTTTAAGGAACTCATTATGCACAGAGCATTTTTTTATATATAGATAAAATAATAATAATAATAATAACAGTAATAATAATAGTAATAATATCATCATATAATTTTTTATTATTAGTACTACTATATAATTATCATTACTATTGAATTTATTATTATAATATAATTATATTATATCCGCCCTGAGTCCTCTGCAGGGTGGGAAGGGCGGAATATAAATGTTTTAAATAAATAAATAATGTATAATAAATTAGATAATATAATTTTTAGCATAATATAATTATATTATAATAATAAATTCAATAGTAATGATAATTATATAGTAGTACTAATAATAATAAATTATATGATATTATTATTATTATTATTATTATTATTATTATTATTGCAATTGGCCCTGGGTTTGGTTCTTTGTCTTCCGTTGTTCCAGAGCTTTTTGAGACTAATTCCCCAAATGCAAAGGGATGGAAAATTATATATATGTCCCTTTCTATATGTGGGCCTTCAAGCCTCAATTGCAAACAGCTGGCTCGGAGGGGTAGGCTATCTGCTTCTGATGGGAAGGGGCTCCTAGAGGCCATCTAGTCTGCCCTCCACTACCTATACTACAATTCCCAGTGTGTCATTGCCTTCCGAAGGAGAAGGAAAGGGTGAATAAACAAACAAACAAACAAACAAATGAACACCCAGAAGCAAACAAGACAAAGGTCTCTGCCTTCTAATTGCTGGTGTGTTTAGATCTTGGGTGGGCTGCTCCCAAATCCATGTTGCAGTGAAGGATTGAACTCAAGGCAGGATATTATTATCATTTCTTATAGAATTAAATGCATGCAGGTGATAATCATGATAGAATTCAATGCAGAATATTATTACTATATTATTATAGAATTAAATACAGATTATGATTGAATTACATGCATATTATTATTATTATTATTATTGCTATTCTAGAATTAAATGCAGATTATTATGATGATGATTGCATTAAATGCAGTATATTATTATTATATTGTTATTATTCTTGTTTTTATTATTATTCTAGAATTAAATGCAGGTGATGAGGATGCTGAGCCAAGGATATAATCAAGATGAATATAAATATCATAATAAAAATATATCATATATATAATACTAAAAATAATAAAATAAGAATAACTTAATTGCTATTGTTTTCTCCATGCTGAGTCAAGGACATAATAAATATAATAATAAAATATAATCAACATAATACTAAAAATAATAACGTCTAATAATAGTAATAATAACAACTTAATTGCTATTGCGTTCTCCGTGCTGAGCCAAGGACATAATAAAATATACATAATGATAATGATATAACATAATGATAATGATAAAAATATAATCAACGTAATACTAAAAATAATAGCATATAATAATAGTCATAATAATAACAACTTAATTGCTATTGCATTTTCCGTGCTGAGCCAAGGACAGAATAAAAAGGAATATCAATATAATATTAATGATAAAAATATAATCAACGTAATATTAAAAATAATAACATATAATAACAGTAATAATAACAACAACTTAATTGCTATTGCGTTCTCCGTGCTGAGCCAAGGACAGAATAAAAAGGAATATAAATATAATGATAATGATAAAAATATAATCAACATAATACTAAAAATAATGAAATATAATAATAATAATAATAATAATAATAATAATAACTTAGTTGCTGTTGCTTGGGAAATGAATGCATTCCTCACCGATAAAAGGCCATCTTACGAAACGTTGTTGGAATATCGGAATAAGCATATGTATAGAGATATATCTATGTATAATATCTATTCCTTTGGACTCACCATCCACCAGGTCTTGGCGGCTGTATCGTAGCATAGCTGCCACTTGACGGGCCTGGGGAACTCCATGCCGCTGGATGCAGGACCGACTCCGGGCTTGAATGTTATTACAGTATTATTATTTTATTATTATTATTACTATTCTGCCAGTGGGAACCTTGGCGCTTGCATCAATCCCATGGCAAATGCATCGAGAGCCAGCTGGCCTCTGGTTTGTGGGTGGCCGACAAGAACCCACCAAGGCTGTGTTTTCGGATAATAAGCGGCTGCAAATGGCTGGTTTCACATTGGATTGGGATGAATGAGAGAGAGAGAGAGAGAGAGAGAGATGCGGTTTCAAGGGGGAAGAAGAAGAAGAAAGGAGAGAGGATGGAGAGAGAGGGTAGGCTTGCTTTCCTCATTCAAGGCCAGGCCATCCAAGGAGGTCGTCATTTGAATTAAATTGGCACCCCAGGAGTTGTAGTTTCCCAAGGTCCTCATACATCTCAGGAGTTGCAATTTCCCAAGGTCCTCGTCTCAGGAGTTGCAGTTTCCCAAGGTCTTCAGAATCCCAGGAATTGTAGTTTCCCAAGGTCTCCCACCTAATCAAACAATGTACCTGGGTTTGAATCCCAACTCACTGGCACTCACTGGTTTCCCAAGTTCCTCATCATCCTGGCAGCTGTAGTTTCCTATGGTCTCCCACCTATTCAAATAACAGACCTGGGTTCAAATCCCAACTTATTGGCATCTAGGGAGTTGTAGTTTCCCAAGGTCCTCATCGTCCTGGGAGTTGTAGTTTACCAAGTTTTTCTGCATCCTGGGAGTTGTAGCTTCCCAAGGTCTCCCACCTAATCAAATAATGGATCTGATTTACAGGCATCCCGGGAGTTATAGTTTCCCAAGGTCCTCATCATCCTGGTAAGTTGTAGTTTCCCGAGGTCCTCATCACCCCAGGAGTTGTAGTTTCCCAATTTCTTCCACATCCTGGGAGTTGTAGTTTCACAAGGTCTCTCACCTAATCAAATAATGGACATGGGTTTGAACCCTGACTCACTGCCCCCCTGGGAGTTGTAGTTTCCCGAGGCCCTCATCACCCAGGAGTTGTAGTTTCCCGAGGTTTTCTGCACCCCAGGCGTTGTAATTTCCTGAGGTCCTCATCACCCAGGAGTTGTAGTTTCCCAATTTCTTCCACATCCTGGGAGTTGTAATTTCCCAAGGTCTTCCGCCTTCTCTGTTCCAAACTGCCAGTGCCTTATCAAATATGGACCTGGGTTCAAATCCCATTTCATTGGCATCCCAGGAAGTTGTAGTTTTCCAAGGACTTCTGCCTTCTCTGTCCCAAACCGCTGGCGCCTAATCAAGCAATGGTCCTGAGTTCAAACTACGACTCATTGGCACCCCGGGAGTTGTAGTTTCCCAAGGGCTTTCTCCTTCTCTGTTCCAAACTGCTGGCGCCTTATCAAACCATGAACCTGGGAATCACGTTTCATTGGCTTCCCAGGAAGTTGTAATTTCCCAAGGTGCTCAATGTCCCAGGAGTTATAGTTTTCCAAGGTTTCTGCTTTCTCTGTCCCAAACCACGGAACCTAATCAAACCACGGACCTGGGTTTGAATTCTGACTCATTAGCACCCCAGGAGTTGTAGTTTCCCAAGTTCCCCTGCCTTCTTGGCCCCCAAACTACTGGGGCCTTTGCCAGAGTACAATTCTCAGGATCCTATAGCATAAAGATATTAATTTAATTCTACTATGATTAATTCTAATATTATATTTGATGGTGTTATTATAATATCTATATATGTATATTTAATTGCATTATATATGTGTGTGTGTATGTATATATTATAGATCCTACTGTTACTATATTTAATTTAATAATAACACTATTATATTGAATATAATAATCGTAGTATTATTAAATTAAATATAGTATTTACCATATTTATTTATTTACCATATTTAAATAATGGTAAATAAAGGCGACTCAAGGCAGTTTACAGTAGAATCAATAATACAATATATATATATATATATATATATATATATATATATAATACAATWAAATATAATACAAATATAGATATTTTAACAACACAATATAATATATTGAGTTGTTAAAATATCTATATTTGTATTATATTTAATTGTATTATATATATAGACACTTAATTGTATTATTGATTCTGCCCAGGGTGTAGAAAACCTTGGAAAACTACAACTCCTGGGTGATGAGGGCCTCGGGAAACCGACTCAAGGCYGTTTACAGTAGAATCAATAATACYATTATATATATATATATATATATATATATATATATATATATACACACACATACATATAATGCAATTAAATATAATACAAATATAGATATTTTAACAACACAATATAATATATTGAGTTGTTAAAATATCTATATATGTATTATATTTAATTGTATTATATATATAGACARTTAATTGTATTATTGATTCTACAGTTAGTATATTTAATTATAATTAGAATTATAATATTTTGAAGTTTTTATTGGAAACAGCAATGGGAGCAAAGCTCATCCGACTACTTTGATGATGATGATGATGCCGGGCATGGCTTGCCATTATCCTTCCTGAATAGTAATGATGTTTTGTTGGTTTTAACGGGATTTCTTTTGCTTTTTGGGGTGCGCCAGGCGCACATCAGGCTCCTTTCCGATGCCAAAATACCACCCAATGAGGTGAGCCCACCCTTTCCCCCTCCTTTCCCCACTCTGTTTCATTCCCTCCTTCCTCTTCTCCTCCTTTCTTTCATCAGCTTGACGTCAGGAGCTGCCTATGGGCAAAATGGCTGGCTGCTAGCAAGCCTTGGTCTCAGAGGGAGAAAGATGCCCGCTTTCGCCATTCTTGCAGCGCAAGAAGACTCGGACTAGCAGGAAGAAGGGAAGAGGAAAAAGGAAGAGAAGAAAGAGAGGAAGAGCCATGTCTCTGCTTTGTGTCGGAGGTAAGGCAGCCAGTGCTTTCATGAGCATCTTCCTTTTCCATCCCTAAACATATAGGCAGAATCAATGCCGAGACTTTGCATCACCACCCTCACCTTCATCTAATAATAATAATAATAATAATAATAATAATAATGGCATCCTCCTTCTCCATCCCTCTCTGTACATTCCTAAAGATATCATAATCACCACCACCACCATCATCTTATATATATGAATGTATATGAATATAGGGATCCAATGGCAAAGGGAGTGCTCCTTGGGCATCTATATAGGAATATTGTTATAGGGATAAATATTGGAGATATACGGGGCAAAGGGGTGACACTTTATCTGTGTCACTCCCATCTATATAGAAATATTGATGATATACGGAAATATATTGGAGGCATAATGGGGCAAAGGGCTGGCACTTTGGGCATCCTTTATCTGTCACTCCCATCTATATGGGGATATTGATATAGGGATATATATTGGAGACATATGGGGCAAAGGGATGGCACTTTGAGCATCCTTTATCTGTCACTCCCATCTATATAGAAATGTTGATATAGGGGTATATATTGGAGACATATGGAGCATAGGGGTGGGACTTTGGGCATCCTTCGTCTCCATGTACGTATTTAGGAATATAGGGGGCAATAGGGGATGTAAAGCATCCTTCTCTCCATCGCTCCATCTATATAGGAGTGATATAAGGAGACATATGGGGCAAACAGATGGTACTTTGGGCATCCTTCCTCTCCGTCGTTCCATCTATATAGTATATATATATATATATATATATATATATATATATGGGGTGGCACTTTGGACCTCTTTTATCTCTGTCACTCTATCTATATAGCAATATTGATGGGAATAAGGATCAGAGTTCCATCTATATAGTAATATTGATATGGGGAGATATATATATGTATGTATGTATGTATGGGGTAGCACTTTGGATCTCTTTTATCTCTATCACTCTATCTATCTATCTATCTATATATGGGGTGGCACTTTGGACCTCTTTTATCTCTATCACTCTATCTATCTATCTATCTATATTTATATATGGGGTGGCACTTTGGACCTCTTTTATCTTTATCACTCTATCTATATAGCAATATTGACAGGAATAAGGATCAGCATGGAAAGCATTGATGGTTGTTCTTTGGTGCCAGTTGACCTGCTCCGTGAATTAACATGGTTCACCCCATATATATATATATATTGCATTGTTGTTGTTGTTATGAGATTTGATTGGAGACCTCCTTAGGAGACCAATGTCTTCCCTCTGTTGGCTAGTCTATGCAGAATATTTCTCAAATTCAAGGCGGCTAGCTGATTGCCATCTGGGCCATTGCAGAGCCCAGTGTCCCCAACCGGTTTGTATTTTAATAATTCATGGCCTCCGAAAGGAACGCGGTTCCATTCATAAATCCCAGGCTTCTTCCCGGACACAGGGTTTCCCCTTTTGTCTTTTTCCCAGAAATGCAAATTGTCAATGGATGGGAGCGCCTGCCGCTTGAGGAGGAGCAAAGCCTCCTCCTCTTTCTCTTCCTCCTCCACCTCCTCCGTCCTTCTCCTCCTCCTCATGTTCTTCTTCCTTCTCCTTTCTCGTCTTCTCCACCTCTCCATTTCCCTTTCTTCCTCCTTCCTTCCTCCTCCTCCTTATTCCTTCGCCTATTCTCTTTCCTCCTCCTCCTCTTCCTCATTCCTTCTCCTCTTTCTCCTTCTCCTTATTTCTCTCCTTCTTTCTTTTCCTGCCTCTTCCTCTTCTTGTATTCTCTTTCTTCCTCCTTTCTTTCTTTTCATCTTCCTCTCTTCTTTCCTTTCTCTCCTTCTCTTTCTTCCCTCTTCTCCTTCTTCTTCTTCCCTCTCCCTTTTCTCTTTCTCCCTTCTCCTTCCTCTTCCTCCTCCTCTTCCTTCTTCCTTTCTTCTTCCTCTCTCTTCTGTTCTTCTCTTCCTTCTTATTCTCTCTTTCTTCTTCCTCTTCTTCTCTTTCTCTTCCTCCTCATCACTCTCTTCTTCTACTTCCTCTTCCTCCTCCTCCTTCTCCTCATTCTTCTTCCTCTTCTTCTATTTTCTCCTCTGCCTCCTTCTTTCTTCCTTTCTTTCTTCCTCCTCCTCTCGTCCTTGTTCTTTTGCCTATTTTCTTTCTTCTTCCTCCTCCTCCTCTCTCCCTTCTCCTTATTTCTCCCCTTCTTCCTTTTCCTTCCTCTTCTTGTGTTCTCTTTCTTCCTCATTTCTTTCCTTCCATCTCCTTCCTCCTTTCTTTCTCTCCTTCTCCTCCGCTACCTCTTCCCCTTCTTCTTCCTTCCCCTCTTCCTCCTTTTGATCTTTTTCCTCTTCTCCTTCCTCTCCTCCTCCTCCTCTTCTTCTCTCTTTCTCTTCTCTTCTTCCTCCTTCTCCTCTTCTTGTTCTTTCTCTTCCTCCTTCCTTCCTCCTTCCTCCTCCTCCTCTTCCTTCTTTTCTTTCACTTCTCCTCATTCTACCTTTTCCTGTTCTCCTTCCTCCTCCTCCTCTCCTCCATCTCCTTCTCCTTCTCCCTCCTCCTTCTCCTCTTTCCTCCCTTTTCTTCTTCCTCCTCTTCTTTCTGTCCCTCCTCCTCATTCCTTCTCCTCGTTCCTGTTTTATTCTTCCTCCTCCTCTTCTTACTTCCTCTTCTTCTTTCTGTTCCTCGTTCCTTCCTTCCTCCTCCTCTTTCTTATCACCTCCCTGTACCTTCTCCTATTCTCCTTCCTCCTTTTCTTTGTCTTTCCCTTCTTTTGCTTCTCCCCCTTCTTCCTTCTCCTGTTCTCCTTGCCTCCTCCTCCTCATTCTTCCTCCTCTTCCCCTTCTTTTTTCTCCTCCATTCTTTCCCTCCATCTTGTTCCTGCTGTTCTTTCTTTCTCTCTGTCTCCTCATCCTCCTCCTCCTTTCTTTTCCATCCCTCCCTCCTCTTCTTTAATAAACTAATAATAATAAACTTTATTTATATCCCGCCCCCTCTCCCAAAGGATTTTTTCTTTTCTTCTCCCTTCTTCCCCTTCTCTTCTTCCTTTTTCTCTTCTCTTCTTTCCTTTCTTCCTTGTCCCCTGCTCATTCCTTCTCCTGTTCTCCTTCCTTCTGCTGTTCCTCTTTCTTCCCTCCTCTCTCCTCCTTCCTCCTTCTCTTCCTTCCCCTTCTTCCTTCTGTTATTTCTTTTCTTCCTTGTGTTCTCCTCCTCCTCATTCCACATCCTCTTTCCCCTTCTTCTTACGCCTCCTCTCCTCCTTTCCTTCTCTTCCTCTTTCTTTCTCTTCTGTTTTCTTTATCTTCTGCTTCCCATCTTCTTCCTTCCTTCTCTTTCCCTTCCTTCTTCTTTCTCCTCTTCTTTACTTCTTTCTCTTCCTTGACTCTTCTTCATTCCGTCACCTTTTCCTTCCTTCCTTCCTTCCTTCCTTCCTTCCTTCCTTCCTTCCTTCCTTCCTTTCGCTTCCTCTTCTTCCTTGTGTTCTTCTTCCTCCTCCCTTTTCCTCTTCTCCCCTCCTCCTCCTTTTATTCTTTCCATCTCCTTTCTCCTCTCCTTTCTCTTCTTTTCCCTCTTCTTTCTCCTTTTCCTCTTTCTTCTTTTTTCTCCTCTTTTCTCCCTCCTTATTTCTCTTCTTCCTTATGTACTCCTCCTTCTGATTCCTTCTACCCTTTCCCCTTCGCTTTCTTTCTTTCCTTCTCCTCATACTCCTACTTTCTCTTCTGTCCTCTCTTCCTCCTTCCTTCTCCTCTTCCCCTTTCATCTTCTCCCTCCTTTTTCTCTTCTTCTTCTCTTCTTTCTCTTCCTCCTATTATTTCCTCCCTTCCTCCTCCTCCTCCTCCCTTATCTTTCCCCAGTCCTTCTTCTTCCATTCTCTCCTTCTCCCTCCTCTTCTTTCTTGTGTTCTCCTTTTTCTCCTCCCATTTCTTCTTCTCCCTTCTTCGTCCCCTCCAATCTTTCTCTCCATTTCCTTCTTCCTCTTCTTTCCTTCTCTTCTCATTCTCCTCCTTTCCCTTCTTCTTTCTCCTCTTCTCCTTTCTTCTTCTTCTTCGATTTTCTTCCTCTTTTTTCTCTTCTTTATTTCACTTCCTCCTCCCTTTTTCTTCCCCTTGTTTTTCCTCCTCCTTTTTCTCGCCGTCTCCTCCTCCCCTTTCTTCTTCTTCCTCTTCTTCTCTTCCTCTTCTTTCTCTTGCTATTTCTTTTCTTCCTTGTGTTCTCCTCCTCCTCTTTCCCCTTCTTTTCTTCTTCTTTCATACTTTCATTATTTCTCTCCTTCTCTTCCTATCTCTTCCCTCTTGTCCTCCCTCTTTCTTTCTTTCTTTCTTTCTTTCTTTCTTTCTTTCTTCTCATTCTCCAAGCGCTGTGCCAATGAACAATAATAGCCCTTTTTCAAAATCCTGGGCTACTGGATTCATCTTCCTTTCTCGTCATTCATATATATATATGAGAGAATGACCCAATTGTCCACTCGGTTTCATTAGCGGCCCAGCAGGGATTTCTGGTTCAGTCCTTCTCTTCGCTTCAGTAAAGAACAGGTCTATTATTTGGTCCAGGAGCTTTATATGAAAGAACAGCATTGAATGCAGACTATATATATATAATATCCCTCTTTTTAAACTGCTGTGCCAAGGCGGAGCTGAACCAAACTCAGCGAAGGCTTTTGGGTCACGAATGCTATTATTATTTTAAAAAAGCATTGACTCACCGCAGAGTCAGAAGGCACCATCCAATCCCTCCCAACAGATGGCCTCCCTTCCTTCCCTTCCTTCCTTCTTCCTTTCCTTTATTTCCTTCTTTCCTTCCTTCTTTCCTTCTTTTTTCCTCCTTCCTTCCTGTTCTTCCTTTCTTCCTTTTCTTTCTTTCTTTCTCCTTCCTTCCTTCCTTACTTCTTTTCTTTCTTTCTTTCCTCCTTCCTTCCTTCCTACCTTTCTTTCCTTCTTGTTCTTCGTCCTTCTTTCCCTCCCGCCCTTTTTCCTTCCTTCCTTCCTTCCTTCCTTCCTTCCTTCCTTCCTTCCTTTCTTTTCT